CGGTGTCAGGGAAGCTAGAAAGTTGGAATTTTAAAGGGAATGTTTTCTGACAGTCCTGATGGCCAATTCTGATTTGTTCAGCTAGAAGCATTTGCCGAAAAAACCGGTACTGGTAGCAACAGAAACTGCGGGGAACCATGCAAAAAACGCATCTTCGTACGGTCAGCCCGTGCGTTGGCCAATTATTCAGTTTTACTACGCAATATATTTGAAGAAATTTACTGCTAAGTGCAGTATTTGTTTTATGTCACATATTGGATAAAGTTTAGGAAGCGCGTCAGCAGAACGTATCGGAAGAAAAAGCTACGAACACTTCTTGCATGAAGGCAGAAGAAAACAGAGAATCAGCAGCAAATCCCCCGTATCCAAACCCTATTGCTGCAGCTGCTGCCGTACCGTTTGTTCCACCACACTGGTATGTCATTATATGAGTTTTTTTTCAGTGAATTTTTGTTTTATGGGCCGTCGATTGTTCTCGAAAACACTGGGAAAAGTGAGGTACTCGGTGGCACTGCTGGCTGGCTTCGTAACTACGCAAGTTGCAGCCACGCACGTGTACCACCAGTACCAACGGCACATATTAATCAAAACCCCCCTGCGCTTTGATTTGTATATTTTTGTTAAATATAATTCGTTATTTTAGTTTAGTTTAGAACTTTGTTTTGATAGAACAAAGGTTTCTAATAATTTTGAATTTTTTAGTATTTTTATGTATATTTGTTTTCCAAATCAAAGGTTTAAAAAATTGATTATGTTTTTTGAAAATTGGGCTTTCCTTATACCTAATAGGATTTTTTCTTATTGTAGGAATTTTCCACACTTGAGCAGCTTCCCATTCAGGGCGGTCGCCAAGTAAGTTTCTGTCTCTCGAAACGATCTCAACAAGAATTTGTTGCTTTAGATTTACCTCATTGCTTTGATCAGTTTAATATCGGGACTGTTTAGGTGAAAATAGAGAAAATATGGCAATACCAAACTTGGTCTTTTAAAGAATTGAATGTATTATGATAGAGCAAGAAATGGATTCCTGGGAAAAACTACGACAATGAAAGAAACACAAATTATAGGAAATTTAAAGCATGAAAATAATAGGAAATTGAATATTTT